CTCGGGTTGATGGCATCGCACACACCACAGCTTTAGTCTTTGTCCTAGGAGTTTGTTTTGATTCATAGTCTGATTTGATAAAGTTGTTTCACGACATTTTATTATGATTTGAGATATTTGACGTATGGTTTTATGATATGACATTCAGTATATGATTTTTATTATTATTAAAACAAAATTTTGGGTCGTATTTTTGGATGTTACACAACTCCACCACAATCTCCCAAAAGAACCTCACCTTTAAAAGAGATCACTCAAAAAGACTACATGGATGATTGCAATTCAAATGACACTCCAGACACAAGATAGATAAAATTTGACTTGAGAGATACAAAGTTTGTTAAAGACATCTGGAAGCCTCAAGGTTTTAACACTATAATCATTGGAAGTGTTATTCAATCATGGGTGAATCCCTTCAGAAGACTAGTCAACAAAGACTATGTGCCTCATTTTACTTACACTGCGCCTCAAACCGATATGTACATGAATATTCCTTTATCTCCCCATGCTCACATTTATCAAGTCTTCGATGAATTCTATCAACAAATTCCATACTACTGGAATCTATCATTGGAATTTGAGAGATTAAATCAATTCTACAACAAACATGGAAAAAAAGTTGAAGACATATGGTCAGATGATACTCCTGAAGCCATCAAAACGTACAAACCCTAGTCTTTCAGTAATGGAACTTTCATCCAATATACTCTAATGCGATTTGGCAAACAGTACTTCAAAACCCAAGTAGACTTCATGTTGATGACTTGATTGCCAGAGTTTTCATCTTCAAGATTGAGAAGCATCACAAGATGAAGCCAATGTATAAGAGAGTACAACTTTCTTAGGTCTCTATTATGTGCCTACTCAACAATAAATGATGAAGTTCATTTAGTTCTTGTCAATAAATTTAATCTACTTCCATTCGAGTATCCAACATTGATCACCGAACGCATTCAGGAAATGAACTATGGGGCCAATAGCTCCCCTGATCTCAACATAATCTTTAGGACCTCCAAGGATGCTGAAAAGAAATTCCTCCCTGTAAGAGTATTTCATCGGTGCAATAAGAAAAATTAAGGAGACATCCTCAAGCTTACAAAAAAATCAAAATTCGATAGTGATGAAGTGAAGTTTAAAATCAAAAGAAGAATCAAATGGGTGTTCTATGTATCGATGTTATCGTGGCTCCTTAACAAGTTTCTCAAATTTGACAAATGAAGAAGTTAGCTGCGAGGTCACTTACGGGAAATTGTTGGTACATGAAAGTGACCCTCAGCAAGTGAAGAAGATTCATGTTTATGTGAGAACCTTGTTGGATAATGCAGCAAATAGTTGTTTGTTTCGTCATACCGAAGACTTTTGGGGAGACCATAAATAAAGGAGACATAGAATAGAGTTGATGGTAGATTGTCTTTTATGATACCGAGGAGACAGAGCAATGATCAATTTTTATAGATATTGAATGTTTGGTGGTATATGTCAGATTCGGCATGGCAAGCATAGTCGTCTATTCATATCTTACTTTTTAAATTATCTAGTTCTAGACATGTACCTTTTCCTCCTATAAATAGATGATCATGATTCTCAATGTAGGTGTGTTCGATCTCATTTTGTGTGTAATTTTCTCTATATTGGAATATATGTCTCCTTATCTTCATTATTTTATACTTTGTTGTTCATCACTTACTTATTTGAGTTTGAATTCAAACCATGTTACGATTCAACAAGTATCTTTAAACTTGCTTACATTTATTGTTGTATTTTGTTGCTATGTTTCCTTTATAATTCTACAATCTTATAATTGTTGAGCTAACTAAATTTCCATGAGATTAACTTAATATTCTTCATCATAATCTCATAAGCATAATTTCTTCTCTTAACAATATCTCCTAAAGGTAGACAAAAACCTAAACCTTTTAGTGTTTGAGGTTTTGCATTTTTCCTCCCATCTCCTATGGTTTTCACCTTGTTCAAATGGTAATCTTGGGTGAGATTACATTAGAGGGATTCTACTTTGGGTCCTTGGCATCAACGCAAAAGGTGGAAATAACAAGATCTCAAGCAAGTAGATCACTAGGTGCAGAAGAGATATGTTTTTCCTATTCATCTTGTAGTTGCAATAATAGAATCAATTGTAGGATCCTTATTGGTTGGATGAACACATACGAGAAATTTTGATACGCTTCTGTCGGTTATTAGCACGTGTTAGTATGCCTAAAACCTTTTAAAATTATGCAAATCTAGTCTTCTAGATGAATAATGAGAAGGTGATAGTTATAGAGAAAACGAGATTACTGCTGGAAATGGTGTCCCATATCATTAATTGTTTTGGTAATATTTCTAATAATAAAGGGGTCCTTCACCATGTTCCCGAGTTCAATTTAACGAGAAAAAAGAAAGGAAATGAGAAGAAAGTAAAAGAAATTTGTATTTCCGAGTTTCATTAAAAGAAGGAAGTGGAGGGAAATGAAAAGATCACTTTTCCTCCTAACTTTTCTTACGGTTTGGAAGGATTTGAAAAGAAAGAACAAAATTATTAATTTTTCTTCTACTTCTCTCCAACTCAGGAACACAAAAGACAAATTTCATTTCCTTTCATTTCTTTTATTTTCTCTCCTTATTTTCTTTCCTTTCCTTTCTCTTCTTTTCTCTCCATACTTTCTTTTCTATTCTTTTCTTTTCTTTGCCTAAACTCGGGAACTAGGCCTCAAAATTAATTATTATAAATATTACCAAAACAATTAATAAAATATTAATTTATTAATGAATTCCCTTCCTCAAAATTGTCCATATCCGAAAGTCACATACTCTTACTCTCCGTACTTTTCTCATGACCTAAATAGCATAAGGTATCCCTAGTTATTCCATTGCTCAAAACCATCCATACTTTGTCTCTTTTACTCTCCAAATCTGAAAATCACAAACTCTCTCCTAGGGTTGGTGATTTTTCAATAAACCCAAATGTGTTGGTTCTTTCCAAGATGCTAAAAAGATCGTCATAGCATGGCATGGCTTGAACACTTATATTTGACGTTATTTTTTAATAAAATATCATCTTAAATCATATATATAATAAAAATGATATATAGCAAAAAATATACATAGAATTATGAAGTATATACAAAATTTCCGTCATATGTCATGTCTTACAAACGACGTGACGTAATTATGATAGAAAAAACCATGGTATCAAAATATCAAAATAAAAAGGAAAAAAAAATTAAAAAGTAAGTGATCACATTTGTGTCATTTACCACATAAAATTAATGTCTTAAAGTAACAATTTGCTTTATAAACCTATTATATTTAATTTGTCGTTATGCTTTAAAATCTGGTTTATTATACTTACATACGAGTAACTATAATGTCTTAAATTTGGTCCGGCTAAAAAATATGCATATATATCTTCCAGACTCGTATATTGTATTATTGTATTGTATTAAAATAATAAGGACCTCTTTTTCTTTTATATGTTACATAAAATGTGTTTAACGCTGTTAGGCAACAAAAACACCATACGTATCATACCTAATATATATAATAGGGTAAGTTACCAAAATGGTCCCAGTTGTTATATAAAAATATAAAATTATGAATTGGGTCACTGAAATAACCTTTTTGCTTTTTTGATCCTTCTGGTTTCAGCTTGCATCAAATCCTTCCAACTTCAACTAACAGCGTCCCATTTCTTCATCTCCATCGTATGAATTCAAAGCTATGAATATCAACACTTACAAATACTGAAGATGCACGTTCTCAGTTTTTGGTGTTGTATTCTTCATTTTTTGTCAGTTTGGCAGGACATAAATTGTTTTACTTGTTTTGACTGGGAGTGGAACACTAAATGTGAGGAACGAATTCATGCAACTGGAGTAAATCCTAAATAAAAATAGAGATTATTAAAGAAATGGTAACATGGTAATTCTATAGTTATTTACAAGAAGGAATTGATTCAAAAAAACATTGAAACCGTAAACATCAACAATGCAAAAAAGAAAATCTTTCAGGGATCTAATCTGTACTTTACATATAACCATCGCTACCGTTTTTGTAATTTACCCTATTATATTATAGACACAAGTTAAAAAATGATCCCTATGGTTTTCGAAAATATCATGTTTAGTCCTTAAGTTCAAAAAACCTCACAGATGGTCCCTGTGGTTTCAAAATTTTTAACAAATGATCATTTTCACTAACACCGTTAACATTTGAGCGTTAAGTGAAGGGTATATCAGTCATTTCACCACCACAGGGACCATTTATGATGTTTTGCCTTAAAAAAGAAAAAAAATATATAATTATTTAATATTAAAGGGCCCCACCTCTCTCTCTCTCTCTCTCTCTCTCTCTCTCTCTCTCTCTCTCTCTCTCTCTCTCTCTCTCTCTTCCCTTCCCGTTACCCTTCACCACCGACCAAGAAGAGGTTGCCGACCATCGGAGTTGCCTCACCTTTCCCAGCCTCCTCCACCCTCCTCCGTCGAATCTGTGATGCCGACAAGAGTAGCCTACCTCACCCCAGTTGATAACACTTCTACATGATTAGAATGACAGATTCCTTTTTCCCAACAAAACCAGCTAGCAACAACGCTAGGTCGAGATTCGAGAAAAACGGTGAGGTATCAATTCCATGGTGGCAGATCACCGGAAAAGATGATTTGGGTTCAGCTGTTTCAAAATGATCAAATTCACATGATTGTAACGAGAATCATCTTCTTCCAAAATCAAATCTAGAAAAGATGGTCAATCCAGAAAATATGAACATTCATCTGCTATCTTATTACCATGGTGAACCAACACAGGAAGCAAAAACAAGAAAACTTGACAAATTACTCGGAATAAATTCAAAGGTGAACATGAATTCGAAGGCAACAACATATCAGAGTGTGCAAACGACCACCGACTCAATTTACGAGTTTCACTAGGGCGGAAGCTCGTCTTCATTGTTATCGAATCAAAAGCAAATACTAGAATCGTATGCACATCGATCAAACCTCAATGTGATGGACGCTGGTGAAAAGCGATACCATAGACTTCGCCTTGAATCATCTTCTAATGGTCTTCGAATCCCTCAAGCTTCTGTTAGGTTCGATGATCAACCAGCTATTGTTCATGGTTATCAAATTAAGTCTTCCATGAATCAAATGGAGTTATTAACCCTAAAATCGCCATCATTTGGTTCTTCAGCAAACTATAAAGCTCCGTATTCTTCAACGAAAGGTCTGCAAAAACAAATCGTGTGAGTGAATCAAACAAGGGAATATTATTGGAAGCTCTAAGACATCCTCATACACAAGCAAGATAATCAGAAAATGCAGCAAAGGAAGCGTATGTAGAGAAAGAGAATTTTTGAAGGTTGTTTTGAGATAGGCATCAACATTGTAGTTGTTTGCTTGCAGACAATAAGGAAGTGGGGGGATTTTTTCTGGAGGAAGAAGAAGAATGGGGAAGAAGAGAGAAAAGGGAGGAGACGAACTAAGAGATAGAGAGAGAGAGAGAGAGAGAGAGAGAGAGAGAGGGGAAGAGAGAGAGACCTTTATACATTAAATAATTATATTTTGTCTTTTTTAAATAACAAAAAAACTTCATAAATGGTCCCTGTTTTGTGAAATGATTGAAATGCCCTTCACTTAACGGTCAAATGTTAACAGTGTTAGCGAAAATGACCATTTGTTAAAAGTTTTGAAACCACAGGGACCATCTTTGAGGTTTTTTGAATTTAATGACTAAATTTAATATTTTCAAAACCACTAGAACCATTTTCGAAGTTTTGTCTATATTATATATATTCTCGTCTCTATATATAACAAGACAAGCCGCAATCACTCAGTCAATATATCTTACTAACTTTTCACACCCATACAACGTAAGATGGAAACTGTACGTGTGAACGGTAAAAGCATGCGACATGTGGTGTTCATACCATATCCAGCACAAAGCCACATCAAGTGCATGCTAAAACTAGCAACGCTACTGCACCACAAGGGACTCCTCATAACCTTCGTCAATACTGAGCTTAACCACAAGCAGTTACTCAACTCCGGAGGCCTAAAATCTTTCGATGATGAGACAGGGTTCGAATTCAAGACCATTCCTGATTGTGTTAGCGTTCCCGAGGGTTCACCAAGATATCAATATGAAGTCAGTAAGTCTGTTCTAACTAAATTATTGGCTCCCTTTCTTGATCTTGTGGACACACTCGAGAGTCAGGTTACTTGTTTGATTGCTGATGGGATGATGCCTTTCACCGTTGATGCTGCTGAGAAGCTTAAAGTCCCAATCGTGCATTTTTGGACCTTTTCTGCTTGTGCTTTCATGGGATATTACCAAGCTCCAAATCTAATTGAGAAAGAACTTATACCACTTAAAGGTTAGTTTCTTAATTACGTTCATTTCACGAGAAAATAATAACTTCTCATATAGATGTTGTTGTGAAAGGTGTATAATAAGGTAACTTATATGAAAATTTACATTCGGTGACAAAGGAAGAACTAGAAGTGGTAATTAATTTGAAGAGTGGTATATCCGACAGATTTTCGGAAATTCCGACAAAAATTTTATAGTACTGGAATATATATGTTACATTTTTCTGTCTTTTCCAGTCGACAATTCTATGTTGACCAAGAAAGAGGGTCTTTATAAATAAATAAACATATATATTGATGTAGTGGAATGCCCAAATAGGTAAATTTTTAAACCGATAAAAAACGAAAATAATGTATTTTTCCATTTTTCAATTATTTATGTCAACTTTTTAAGATATTTACTCGTTTTTAACTGGAATCATATATAAATATTTGAGGTAAATTAGATAATATAATTATTTTGTAACGATGATCATAGAAGTACCAACACAATTATATTAAATATTACATAAATTAATCAAAACATAATAACACAATTAAAAGAAAATTGATATTTAATGTGTGCTTAATATTATAAAAGACCTCGTTTATATTGAATTTTTTTACTTATATGTTCTAATGTTTCAGATGAAAGTTACCTCACCAATGGATATCTTGACACTGCAATAGATTGGATTCCGGGATTGGAAGGATTTCGTTTAAAGGATCTTCCAGGTTATATTCGAATCGCAAACCCTAATGATGAAGACTATAATTTTGTCATTGCATGCATCAACGCAACTAGGAAGGTCCCGAATATAATCATACATACATTTGAAGCGTTAGAGTCCACAGTCATCAAAGCCCTCCAATCCATGATTCCTCACGTCTACACCATTGGACCATTGGAGTTGCTTCTAAATCCGATAAATCTTGAGGAAGAAACAACCAAGTTAGATATCAAGGGCTACAGTCTATGGAAAGAAGAAGACGACTGCCTTAAATGGCTGCAATCGAAGGAGCCACATTCTGTGGTATATGTCAATTTTGGAAGCCTAATATCAGTGTCGTTAGAACAGCTCATAGAGTTCGGTTGGGGACTTGTTAATAGCAATCAAGATTTTCTTTGGATCATTAGGCCTAATTTGGTTGTTGGAGAGTCTTCTACCTTGCCTTCAGCACTCAAAGATATGATTAAGAAGAAAGGTTTTATAGCAAGTTGGTGCTCCCAAGAAAAAGTGTTAAACCACCCTTCAGTTGGTGTGTTTTTGACTCACTGTGGCTGGGGTTCCACCATTGAAAGCTTATCTGCTGGGGTCCCCATGTTGTGTTGGCCGTATTTATGGGATCAACCAACTAATTGTAGGAAAATATGCACAGAATGGGAAGTTGGCATGGAGATCGGGAGTAACGTAAACAGGGATGAAGTTGAGATGCTCACTAGGAAGATGATAAAAGGACCTAAGGGTAAACAAATGAGAAACAAGGCTATGGAGTGGAAGAAAAAGATAGAAATTGCAACCGGTCATAATGGCTCGTCTTCTTTAAATGTTGAGACACTTGCCAATGACATTGATATGTTTTCAAGAAACTAACTAGTGTTTTATATGTTCTTCCAGGTTTCAAGAAACTTGCTAATGTTTCATCCTTTTGGTTTTTATTTGATCATGTATTTCGTCATATATATGTTGTGTGAATCCTAAAAAATAAGAACTTGTATTATGTCGTTGTTGCAGTGATATCGGTTGTAAATTAACATAATATCAATATTGTCCTGATGCTTATGTTGCTAGTAGTGAAAATGGAATTCGTTACAAGATAATATTAAAGTTATATTTGTTATTATTTTGGTTTTATCCACTTAATACCTACCTACATACTGTAAATGTAGATTTTATTCCACATATATATTAACGTACATGATTATTTAGCTAATTTGTATATTTTATGTGGGTATTTATCCGGCCCACTAATCTACTATGTTATATTTCTATAAATTTCACTTGATTAATGAGAATCAGATTTATGGAAAAATATTATTTCTTTTTTTTTTTTATCGGCTAACACACCATTTGCTAAACTTCAATTCTAAAATATATTCATTTGTCAGGACTTAAAATCGTCAATAATTTTGGTGTAACACCGTAAATTTCAAAACAAATTTTTCGATTTTTTTATAAAACATAATTCGATTAATATTCATCAAACAACCATATTAATTATCCAATATAGATTAATACAAAATCCCAAGATCACAATGTAAAAACTCCAAGTGTGTGTGTACGGATCAAACCGGTGCCTTCCCGCGGTCGTCACTAGTACCTGAAATAATAACATCAAACACTGTAAGCACAAGGCTTAGTGAGTTCCCCAAAATACCACATATAACACATATTAACCACTCGAGGCTATAACTCTGTGAGTCCGTGCACCCAAACTCTGTGAACCCTCAGGTTCTAGCTCTGATAAACATGCACTACATAAATCACATAGAAATAATGCAGTACAACACATAACATACATAGCATACAAATACTCTATCACATAACTCTGGTTACCTACTCAAGGTAATATAGTATTGTGAGAAGACTCACCTCGCGTATCTCGGTATCTCACAAATCCTGGAAATCCCTCGTGCTCGATCCTCCGAGCTCTAATCCTCCTATAACATTATATGTTTCTAATTAACACTTTATATCTCTAAGGTTGACTATCTATAAGAAGTCAACACAGGTCAACTCAGGTCAACAGTCAACTCTGACCGGACTCGGCGAGTACCATGGCGACTCGGCGAGTCTAGACGTTTTCACCAACCCTCTGAAATCCTCTTACTACACGTCGAGTATCCCCCCACCCTTACTCGACGAGTTTCACCTGAATGAATCGCGGGGCCACCCCGACTCAACTCGCCGAGTCTCAAGGACAACTCGGCGAGTCCAAGTTTGACTCAGTCCACTCGTCATCCCTTCCAACTCACCCTGACTCACTGAGTCTACCCATGACTCGATTGGACCACTCGCTGAACAGTCCCAAGGCAATCTTCAAGCTACTCGCCGAGTCGGATGAACAGACTCGGCGAGTCCATGCCATGCAACCACTCCAACTCGCTTCTAAGGTCAGATCTGCTTCCAAAAACTATAGATCTGGCCTCCCTCGACTGATTCATCACGTAAAGCTCCTATCTTGGTGCTCATAACACACCCTATAGCTCAATAATGGAGTTTTTGACCTAAGGCATGAGGATTCCAATCCAAAGCCTCCATTGATTCCCAAAAAGCTTGGGTAAAGGGACACTCTGGACCTCTAAGGGTCCGATCTATGGTTCCAACCTCATAAGGGACCAAAAGGACACTAAATCTTGCCATAAAAGGGTTCAACAAACCCTAAATCTAGATAAACAACAACAAACAAGAAGGTAACTCGGATTTATTACCACAAAAGTGATGCTCTGGACTCCAAACCCACAGAAGTGGCTCCTTCTTGCTTTCCCTTGGCTAGCTCTTCTCCTTCCTTGCAACAATGGCACCTCCAAGGTCAATAATGGCCTCCTACTTAGCTCCAAATGCTCACACTCGATTAGGGTTTCACTCAAGGGGCTGGTGAGCACAAATGACGGCCATTAGGCCCTTTAAATAAGTCTCAAACCCGAGAAATTAGGGTTTCATTACACAGCGCTGACTCGCCGAGTCCATATCCTGGACTCGTCGAGTCCAGGCGCGATCCCGCGTCCAAATCCGCGTCGCTACTCGGCGAGTCTGAGCTCCAACTCGCCGAGTCCCCCTCACAAACTAACAATATACAATAAACAAGATACCTGATAAAATCTGGCTGTTACAACTCTCCCCCACTAGGACTAGACTTCGCCCTCGAAGTCTCGCTCTAAAAATAGCTCCGGATGCTGCTCCTGCATCATACGCTCTGGCTCCCAGGTCATCTCTGATCCCCTCCGGTGTTGCCACTGAACCAACACCAGAGGTACCTCCTTGTTTCTCAATATACCTTGATCTTCCGATCCCTGATGGCCACTAGTCTCTCGGCATAATTCAGGCTTGCATCTACCTAAATATCCTCTAACAGAACCACTGCCGATTCATCGGCTATACACTTCCTCAACTGCGACACATGAAAAGTGTTGTGAATCTGTCCTAACTCTGCTGGCAACTCCAACCGATAGGCTACCCGGCCTACCCTCGCAATCACACGAAATGGACCTATAAACCGGGGCCCCAACTTGCCCCTCTTTCTGAACCGAATCACTCCTTTCCAAGGAGAAACCTTCAGGAGAACGAAGTCGCCGACCTGAAATTCAAGCTCGAACCGGCGCCTGTCCGCATAACTCTTTTGGCGGCTCTGGGCGGTCAATAACCTCTATCTGACCCGCTGTATCTGCTCTGTCGTCTGAATCACGATCTCTGTACTGCCCATCACTCTCTGCCCAACCTCACCCCAACAAATGGGAGTCCGACACCTCCTACCATACAACAGCTCAAAGGGCGGCATACCGATGCTCGAATGATGGCTGTTATTGTAGGAAAACTCGGCCAAGGGTAAATACGTATCCCAGCTACCCCCAAAATCCAATACACATGCTCGAAGCATGTCCTCAAGCGTCTGAATCGTCCGCTCACTCTGGTCGTCTGTCTGGGGTGATATGCGGTACTAAAATGCAGCTTAGTACCCAACTCCTCATGAAATTTCTTCCAGAATCGGGAAGTGAAGCGCACATCACGGTCCGAAACAATCGAGATCGGCACCCCATGCCGAGATACTACTTCTCTCACATAAACCTCCGCCAACTTCTCCGCCGAAGAACTCTCAATGATGGCAAGAAAGTGAGCGCTCTTCGTCAACCTATCCACAATCACCCAAATTGCATCAACTCCTCTGGCAGTCCTCAGCAATTTGGTGATGAAATCTATAGTGATCTGTTCCCACTTCCACTCAGGAACCTCCAATGGCTGCAACTTGCCATGCGGTCTCTGGTGCTCGGCCTTCACCCTTCGACAGGTCAAACACCTCTCGACAAACCATGCGACGTCTCTCTTCATACAAGGCCACCAATACTCTTTCCTCAAATCCAAATACATTTTTGTAGCTCCGGGATGGATCGAAAATTTCGATCTATGAGCTTCCTCCATCAATGTAGTACGCGTACCGCCCACAAACGGTACCCAAATCCGGCCCTGAAAAGTCATAAGCCCTCGACTATCCGACACAAACTCCGAAACCAAACTAACTACCTGTTCCCCTCTTCTGCATCTCCGGATGCACAGCCTCGGCCTGTGCCCCACGAATGGCGTCCAGAACTGGAGCTATCACGGTCAATCTCAAACATACCTCTCGTAGTGGAGTACTCTCCGCCCTGCGACTCAATGCGTCGGCTACCACATTAGCCTTGCCCGGGTGGTACAAGATCTCGCAGTCATAATCCTTGACTACATCTAACCACCTCCTCTGTCGCATATTTAGGTTAGGCTGATCCATCAAGTACTTCAAGCTCTTATGGTCCGTGTATATCGTACAACGAACCCCATACAAGTAGTGCCGCCAAATCTTGAGAGCGAACACCACTGCCCCCCAACTCTTAATCATGTGTGGGATATCTCGTCTCATGAGGCTTCAACTGCCTCGATGCATATGCTATCACATGTCCCTTCTGCATCAGCACCACTCCCAGCCCTAAAATCGATGCATCACAGAATACCACAAAATCTTCCATCCCTTCCGGAAGAGCTAATACCGGAGCTTCGCACAACCTTTGGCGAAGCGTCTCAAAGGAGGTATGCTGCTCGGGACCCCATAAAAATGTAACACCCTTCCGGGTCAATCTGGTGAGTGGCACTGCGATCTTGGAGAAATCCTTGATAAACCTCCGATAGTACCCTGCCAACCCAAGGAAGCTCCTGATCTCAGAGGGTGACTTTGGCACCTCCCATCTCATCATCGCGTCAACCTTGGCCGGATCGACCAATATCCCTTCCTGATTAACGAGGTGCCCCAGAAACTGGACCTCCCGCAACCAGAAATCGCACTTGGAAAACTTTGCATAAAGTTTCTCCGATCTCAAAACTCCAAGAACTTCCCTCAAATGCTCCTCATGCTGCTCTCTAGATCTCGAATATACCAGAATATCATCGATAAACACAATCACCGACCGATCCAACATCGGCCTGCATACCCTGTTCATGAGGTCCATGAACACAGCCGGGGCATTGGTGAGCCCAAAAGGCATCACCACAAACTCATAATGCCCATAACGCGTCCTGAATGCTGTCTTCTAGACGTCCTCGTCCTGCACTCTCACCTGATGATAGCCCGACCTCAAATCGATCTTGGAGAACCAAGATGCTCCCTGTGACTGATCGAACAAATCGTCGATCCTCGGCAACGGGTAACAGTTCTTGATCGTCAGCTTATTCAATTCTCGGTAATCAATACACATTCGATGCGAGCCGTCCTTCTTCTTCACAAACAGAATGTGTGCTCCCCACGGCGAGCTGCTCGGCCGAATAAACCCCTTCCCCAGCAGCTCCTGAAGCTGCGAGGATAACTCTTGCATCTCTGGAGGTGCAAGACGATAAGGCACCTTAGCGATAGGCGCGGCTCCCGGAACCAAATCGATACCGAACTCCACTTGCCTCACGTGAGGCACACCTGGTAATTCTTCGGGAAAAACATCTAGAAACTCACGCACCACCAGAACTTCATCCACTGAACTCGGTCTCTCGGAGGTCACTCGCGTATCCATCACATACGCCACAAAACCCTTACAGCCCTGCTGTAAACACTGCCTCGCCCTAGCGGCCGAACAAAAGGCTGATCCAGAACGTGTACCCTCGCCGTATACCGAAAGAACTCCCCCACTAGGATCTCGTATGGTCACCAGCTG